ATGTAACACGGTAAGCCTGGAGAAGCGTGATTATTTATTTTTATGACTTCAAGTGCAAAAATGGCTCCCGACAGTCTTGGATTGGAGTTAAGAAAGAAAATTATTGGTGATCACGTAAGCGGAACGCCACAAAAAAGTATTTGTGATAAATATTGCGTGAAAAAATGGACCGTATCAAGACTATGTTCCAAATATCGTTCTACGGGGAAGTTGGCAGCAGATAACAAAGAAGAACGTGGTCGTCCTCTCTAGAAGTGGAAGACCGCGTTCCACCACTTCTAGAGAGTATTCTATGATCGTCAGATCCGTCAAGAAAGATCCCTGAATATCATCAGTCGAGACACAAAAGCAATTAGAGCTGCCTGTATCGGACCGAACAATCAGACGACGTGCTTTTGAAACTGGATCGCTTTCTCGACGCCCTGCAAAATAGCCGCTGATTTCACTATAGAAACAGAAGAAAAGACTCCTGTTTGCTACATCTGCAATGTGCAGAAAGGGCAAACTACCATGTTCAGTGATGAATCAAAGTTCAACATCATTGGGGGCGATGGCATTTGCCATGTACGTCGTTCGGCCGGAAATCGCCTCGATTTACGTTACTGCCATAAGATCGTGAAGCATGGTGGAGGCAATGTAATGGTCTGGGGGTGTTTTTCTGCTAACGGTTTTGGTCCAATACATCGAATTGATGAAATAATGGACCGTTTTATGTATAAAAATATCCTGAAAGATGTTATGTTACTTCATGCTGGATGAAATATGCCAATAAAATGGGTTTTTCAGCAAGACAACAATCCGAAACACACTGCAAAAGTAGTCAAGCAGTGGTTTCAAGACAACCACCTATCGGTGATGGATTGTCCGCCTCAATCTCCGGATCTCAACCCTATCGAGAACCTGTGGGAGAATGTCAACCGCAGAATTAATTGTCAAGGTGTTCGTAATAAGGATCAACTGTTTGAATAAATCCAAAAGGCCTGGGCAGCGATTCCACAAAGTTTCATTGATCACCTGATCGAATCTATGCCTCGAAGTTGCAAAGCTGTGATCGACAACAAAGGATTCACCACGAAATATTGATAGCGAAATACAGCTTGGTCAACATTTTGTGGAGTTGCACTTGTTTTGTCCATAAGGAAATCAACTATTTTTAATACTTTAGAATAATTTATTAATTTTCGTGTACAAATAATGAACTTTGTGATGATTAAAACTTGAAGAACGTTGTCTCTAAACAGTTACATAGTTATTTCTCTAAATTGATGCAGCACTTTTATATAAAGAAACTAAATTAGCATTATTGGGTTGCATTTGTTTTGTCCAATACTGTAATTATTTGCGTATCAATCATTAATAATTTTCATAGGAAATTGTGTCAAAATTTAATAATTTCCAATAGAAATTATATCAATCGTTAATAATGTTCATAGGAAATTATGCCAATTATTAAAAATAACAAATCGTCCATAAATAACACAAATTATATTTTAAGAACAGAAATAAGAGATAATTAGTTCTTTTACGCGGCGATTTTCATGAAATTTAACGGGCTATTTTGATTTTTTATTTAAATTATAACTTTGTGAGGAAAAACTTTTGATTTTTTTCGTTTTGTTTATTGTGAAAGTTTGCGTTACATAGTTTAAGGACGACCCTTAAAGGGAATTATTTGTGTACTAATTATTTCATTATATTAAAACTTATTGTTCTGGTGCGTACCAGATAGTGTTTTTGTAAGTGCAAAAAACACTCAGAATAATAATATCACTATTATTCTCATTAAGACATCTATCACTTCTAGTCATTACAAATTTTAAAAATAGCGAATGGAAATTATTTAGGACCTATAGAATGGGAATAAGTAGAGAGTATATTAAAATTTTCAAAAGCGTTTTTTTGTGAACCCTCATGTTAATTTATGAAATAATATGAAAATGAAAAACAACTAAATAATTAATAGATGTTGATAATACTCACAGTAACATTAATCAAAAATCTTTTTGCATTACATTAAATCTATAATTATCAAATTCTGTATAAATCTATACAAAATTAAGCAATTTTGTAAAAGTAAAACATGGTAACAAAAATTGAAATAACTTCAAAAAAAATTCCAGGATTTCTAGGAATAATTGCTAAAAAGTGTGTTTTTGTAGGACTTTTCCAAGCCCTATCAAAATCCAGGATTTTTTCACATTTTCAAGGGCCGCTGCCCACCCTGAACTAACCTATTCACGAGAGTATAATTGTATTTCCGCTGCAACATTGCGAAAAATTACTTTTGTCTATAAAATGTGGTCGATTGTTTGCTAAAAAAACAAAGTAGTGAATTTTTGTTAAAATTCTTGACTATTGTAGTAAATTTTAAATAGAAAAAGAAAAAAATCGAGATTTAAATTTTATTAAAGAACAAAAAATACCAAAAAGTGAAAACGCTATTTACACTTTGTAGTTTGTAGGCGATTGAAAAATAAGCAAGTTTGATTAAAATTTATTAGCTGCTAAAGCAGTAGAACACTTTACATCTGCAGTCAGAGTATAATTCTTTCTTTTGCCTGAACTGAGCTTTTGTTTTAATATTACCCACTTTTTATAACAATTTTAACATCTGTTTTATTATTTAGTTCATAAACATGTGAACTTTATTTAACTCGATATTTTTATTCCAAATGCATAGAATACAGATCGTTATTGCCAAAATAATTCTTCAGGAAACTAAAAAATTTGATTATCCTTCCATTGTTAATATATTATAAAAATCCTAGAGTTTAAGGTATCGCTTTTTATTAATGTAGGCACTTCAACATTGTAATGTAATGTAGGCACTTCAACATTTTTTTTTAAATTTAAAATAAAAACAAAAAAAAACTACCATAAGTTAAAGCTAAATACAATATCATACAAAACAAGTACAACCAAATAATGCAAATTTAGTTTCTTTATATAAAAGTGCTGCATTTAGAGAATAACTATGTAACTGCTTAGAGACAACGTTCTTCAAGTTTTAATCATCACAAAGTTCATTACACGAAAATTAATAAGTTAATCAAAAGTATCAAAAAAAGTTGATTTCCTTCTGAACAAAACAAGTGCAACTCTACAAAATGTTGACCAAGCTGTATTTTGCTATCAATATTTCGTGGTGAATCCTTTGTTGTCGATCACAGCTTTGCATCTTCGAGGCATAGATTCGATCAGGTGATCAATGAAACTTTGTGGAATCGCTGCCCAGGCCTTTTGGATTTATTCAAACAGTTGATCCTTATTACGAACACCTTGACAATTAATTCTGCGGTTGACATTCTCCCACAGGTTCTCGATAGGGTTGAGATCCAGAGATTGAGGCGGACAATCCATCACCGATAGATGGTTGTCTTGAAACCACTGCTTGACTACTTTTGCAGTGTGTTTCGGATTGTTGTCTTGCTGAAAAACCCATTTTATTGGCATATTTCATCCAGCATGAAGTAACATAACATCTTTCAGGATATTTTTATACATAAAACGGTCCATTATTTCATCAATTCGATGTATTGGACCAAAACCGTTAGCAGAAAAACACCCCCAGACCATTACATTGCCTCCACCATGCTTCACGATCTTATGGCAGTAACGTAAATCGAGGCGATTTCCGGCCGAACGACGTACATGGCAAATGCCATCGCCCCCAATGATGTTGAACTTTGATTCATCACTGAACATGGTAGTTTGCCCTTTCTGCACATTACAGATGTAGCAAACAGGAGTCTTTTCTTCTGTTTCTATAGTGAAATCAGCGGCTATTTTGCAGGGCGTCGAGAAAGCGATCCAGTTTCAAAAGCACGTCGTCTGATTGTTCGGTCCGATACAGGCAGCTCTAATTGCTTTTGTGTCTCGACTGATGATATTCAGGGATCCTTCTTGACGGATCTGACGATCATAGAATACTCTCTAGAAGTGGTGGAACACGGTCTTCCACTTCTAGAGAGGAAGACCACGTTCTTCTTTGTTATCTGCTGCCAACTTCCCCGTAGAACGATATTTGGAACATAGCCTTGATACGGTCCATTTTTTCACGCAATATTTATCACAAATACTTTTTTGTGGCGTTCCGCTTACGTGATCACCAATAATTTTCTTTCTTAACTCCAATCCAAGACTGTCGGGAGCCATTTTTGCACTTGAAGTCATAAAAATAATCATGCTTCTCCAGGCTTACCGTGTTACATTTATCTTGTGATGATACAATAATGCTCTGTTTAACACAACGTCTTGGTTGGATGTGGACTGTATTGATGTAATGAAACACATGTTGTATTTCACTTCTTGTACTGATGTTCTTCGATAAAACACTTTGATAAAACTCACTTCAATAAACTGTCTTGATAATACTGACCGATTGACTTCCATATACTATCTGATTTACATGTCGGTTCACATGCCTCATATATAGTAAAATGAATCTGTGTAAACCTGTTCTGAAAGATTCTAGATGCTTCTTTTCGATGCTTCTGGATGCTTTCAGATGCTTCTTCTGGAAACTTCTGGAAGCCTCTGGAAAATTTTGGAAAATTCTTGATACTTTCTTTAATTATTAAAAAACTTCCGTGGCGTTGACACGGACCAGACTAAAGAAAATGAAACAAACCAAAAAAGTATCACTTGTTTTGTCCGCTGCAAAATGGCACTTGTCAACGAAATTCTGCCTGTGTGCTGTCACCTGTCTGTGATTGCTCATGTCATGGCATGCTTTGACTCCAGACTCCTGAACTGTTTGCGGTGGTACTATAGTTCGCTTCGTTTTTTCTGTTCGATGTTGGTTGCAAATGTTTTGTCCAATACTATAAGAGCATTAAAAGTTCACGGGAACAACTTATAATACTTTATTTGTAAATGAAATAATAAAAATGTTGGTATTAAAAGACATAAAATCATGTCTTTAACTAAATGACCCAAATAATGAAAACGAATTACTTAAAGTAATTAAGAAAGAAGAATTACAAAAAATATTAATAAAATAATGTAGCTACAAAAATCTTTTAAATCTCAAATATTTTTTATAAAAATTACATCTAAAACCGCGTAAATAAAAGATCCTAACTGGGCTTAATTGCTCTCCGTTAGAACATGTAAGCTTATTTTCTATTCTTTCGAATAAAGCAAGGTAGCAAAAATGTTGTATATCAAGGTAGCTTCATGTTTCCAGTTTCAATGCATATAAAGATAGGCGAAGGAATGATATCAATGACTTATGAAGGAATGATATAGATGATTTCGGTATTTTGTTATTTAAACCATGCACAATAACTTTATTTACTGTTTGTTGAAAGGTACAACGCTGTTTCACGATACAACGCTTACAAAATTATGCGAAGGAAGAGATATTGGTATATTTCCGTTTTTAATGTTTAAACCATTGACGATGTAAGCACTTATATTTTGTATTTCGTAAACACCAAATGATGTCATCGCACAATACATAACCAAATCTCGATTTGATTTACTTGGAATAGTTATGGCGGAACACAGCTGACCAACCCAACGGATAAGAGAGGAAGGGCGATCTAACAAAACGTCAGTCCTTAAAGAAAAAAAAAAATTTACCCCTTTATATTAAATGTATTACCTAACAATGGAACGATGACTTGATATAAATGTTGATCCTAATTGTCACTTAAAAAAAAAAAATCAAATAAAATCACTTAAATAACTAAATGTCATAAACCCAGAAAATTCTAATAATTTTTTAGTATGTCACTTAAGTGTATATTAAGTTAATATTAAAATAATCAGAAAAGATTATAATAAATTAATAAAAAGTAAATATAATAAGATATTAATCTCAAAATCTAGTTCAATTGTCGAAGGAGAATAATTTCAACTTTGCATAAAACCATTAAAAAAAAACTTAAATCTAGAGTTGAAAATCATTGATTTTACTTATCCAACAAATAAGATAATTGCTAGGAGTGTAAAATAAAGTTTTAGAACGGAAAAACTTTTGAAAAAGAAAACTCAGTTACTAACATAGCATAAATTTGCAAACAAACTAGATAAGAATGTAACAAAGTCAATTATATATTATGTATACTAGATGTTTAACTATCGTGAATTTTATTGTACGAAAAATGAAGTCACTTTTTTTTTGTTTATAAATTATATATTTTTTTAGTTCGCCATTAGTAAAAAGTGCAAATTTAATCCGCCATTTGTAAAAGGCCAAAAGCGGCTTCACTTTTCGGATCAAAGTTAGACATCTAGTTTATTTGAACGAAACTGGTAACGAAAGTAGATAACGAAGTAGATAAGTATATAACAAAGTAGATAAAGTTTATAAGAATATGGAGCTGTAACCTTTTCCAACTTCTATAGTTTATATTCACAATTTCTGCTAAATCATTTGTAGGGTAGACTTGAAGAAAATGCGTGAAAGAACTGTATTAACTTTAAGGAATATATATGAAAACCTTTTTGTTCAAAAAGGTTTTGAATAATTCAGGTCTTTGGGTTGGTAAGACTAGATGAGGAGAATTAAGCTTTACTTTGCCTACTAAGTTAAATATTAATTATTCTTGAACGCAACTTCTTATCACAGGACGAAATTTAGTAGTTGAGAAATCAAAAAGCTTTGGCTAAGTTTGAAGCATTCCTTCTTTAAGCATTCTGAAGGGTTTTAAGCATTCTAAAGGGTGGAGCAACAATTTTTAATCACAAAATAGTTAATAGAGACAATTCATAGTTTCAAGATTCAAAAAATCTTTTTTTTTTTTTGAATAACGTTGTTGTTCGTCTCATTCATTGGCGAACGTCTACAATTAATCGCGCTCGTTAACTGTTAAGGCCACTTCCCACAAGACGAAATATTCGCGCAAAGCGAGTTTTTTCGTCGATAAGCATGCGCAGATTAAAAACATTTCTGCTAACTTTGCCGATCAATCGTTTTGCTGTAACGAAAAAAAAATTCGGATTCACTTCGACTTTCTGCGAATTGTTATGAACCATATTTTAAATAGTATCACGTGATGTTAGCAGTAAAATAAAAACGAAAGCTTGTTATTTCTTCAAAATGGCAACAACAACAATGAACTACAACAATGTACAAAATGTGCAACTTAGAGTTCTTATTGATTTACTTAGAATTTACTCTTGGCAAGCATTTGTTAATTCATCAAATAAAGATACAGTATTAAAATACGTTCACAATTTACAGTATTAAAATACTGTAAATTGTGAACGTTTTACTTCTCTAAACGTAGAGAAATTTTTATCTAGATTTGTATCTTTATCTTTTTTATCTTTTATTAGAGTTGAACTATCAGTTGCTTCATGCAGACGCAGTTTTTCACAGAAGTGTTCCGATCAGAGATTAGCATTTATTTTCTTAAATATTCTTAAAAAATATAATATTAAATACTATTTTTTATACTGATATACTTTTTTCATAAGCATAGAGTAAACTTATAGCTGCCATTTTATTTTTCACTACGAAAAAAGTAGGGAAAAAAATTTTGGAGGAAATAAAAACAGCGTTTGACAAAAAAATTCGCTTCGCGCGATTTTTTTCGTCTTGTCGAAAACGGCCTTTAATAGAATGTTTTAGCTTGTTTTCTTTCTATATCTTTATTACATAAAATAATTTTATTTTGTGCAAAACAAATATTCAATTAAAAGTTTAAAAACGAAATTTTTTAAATGCTACGTTGTTTTTTTAAAATTTTAGGCGACCATCGATGTTTGAATAAAGAAAAATAATGAATTAGATATTTTCACCCCTCAATTTCATGTTAAATGAGTATTCCTATTATCCTTTAAATTTTTTGGTGAAATTTTGTTTTTAGTTACAATCGCAATCTATTTATTTTGTATTTACTTACAAACGCAAACTATTTATTTAACGATTACAGCTGAAGCAATTATCAAGAACATTTTTTTTTCAATTTTAATTATCCACTTATAAAATTTTATTATATTGCTTTGGGGACATCCATAAATTACGTCACGCTCTGAAGGTTGGGGAGGGGTAAATGGTTTTGTGACGACTCGTACGGGACTTTTTACTAAAGAGTCAAGATGTTGTGACGAGGAGGATGAGAGGGGTAAAATAGTCGAAGATTGCGAGACGTAGTTTTTAGACGACTTCATTACAGGAATGCAGAAAAGATTATAACTAAATTTAGATGTAACTAAAAATTTTAAAAATAACCTTTTTTATTTTATAGAAAATTTAACAGACCTACATTTAACACTTAACAAAAATCCGAAGTCCATTTTGTGACTCCGCATTTCTGATTTATTTATATACCAAATTTTTTAATGCTAATTAGTGCAAAATTAGGTTTTTTCTATCGACGTTTTTTTTGGGGGGATTTATGCCCTAGTCACACTAATGAGATCATTCCCCTAAACGATTTTCTCAGGTCAAAACATCAAGCTATTTTTAATTTCTTTTTTGACAGTGTTTAACCTACCTTCCTTTCCCAACTTCTGTTTCAAAACGAATCTCAACATCTTGATCAGTGTTGTTAAAAGATTTTATCTTTACAGGAAGGATGCATAGTCTAATTTTAATAATAAAATAAAAATTATATTAAATATTTAAATGAAAATGTAATATTAAAATAAAAAAAAAAAAATACTTCTGCTTGTTAAAGTCGTGCTTAACAACAACAGGATGTTCATAGGAGACACAAACTCCTTCGGGGAGATCGAAATTTGTTGGCAAACAAGTTCGCTAAAAATTTAATTTTAATAAATTTATTTTATCAAAATAATTTTGATTTAAAAAATACTTTTGTTTAAAAAAATAAGTTTTGATTTAATGCAGTAAATCGTTTTAATTAACATCATATAAGTCAGCCTAAAAATTTTTTAAGACTTAAATACGTTTTTTTACCGTCAAGCTCTGGTACTTAATATAGTCACAAACAAGATTCGTGTTTTTACCATTAAGCTCTGGTACTTAATATAGTCACAAACAATACACGTGTTTTTATGACAGTGATAAAAAGATTTTTTACTCAAAGCATTTGCATTTTAACATTTAACATTATTCTAATCAATTTACTACAGTAAAAAAATTATGCAATAATAATTAATAAAAAGAAAAGTGAAAATCAATAACAAATCTTATTTTTTAAACCTCGTTTTCACCAAGAACGACATGAGATTGACCTTTAATTACATTTCGTGTAAACGTTTCATCAATATAAAAAGTCTAAAATTAAAAAAAAATAATATTAAAGATAAAATATTTAATATGAAAAGAATAATCAAAAAAACTTCCACTAAGCAAGATAGTTCCATGGTTAATTAGGATAGTTCCCTTAGCTTACCATAGACCTAAGGAAATTTTACTCTCATTCCAAAATAGCTCGTCTTGCATTCAAGAAAAACTTGTTTTTCAAAGGAGAATAGCTTATCTCTCTATCAAGAACACTTAAGAACAACTCTCCACTCAATAAAAAACTCGGCTTCTCACTGAAAAACAAGTATTAATGGTGCAAGAGATTTATAACCATTAAAGAACTGGTTAGATCCCTAAAGTCATGCTTTTGATGTCCAACCAGCTCTTTGATGTTCGAGATATTTCTAAAAGTTTTCAACACTGCTGATTAAAGATTGCAAAAAAATCATGATTTAAATAATTTACCTTTCAAATTTCAAATGATATAAATAATTTACCTTTAACATTATTTTATTAGCTGTGCACCGACACTAAAAACAACATACCTCCCATTCAAGAAGAAGAAGAAACTTATTCATGGATGATAGAACATCGTCAATGTTAAAGAATTCTGATATCGACTTCTTTTTAAGCTGTAAACAAAAGTATAAATAGTACAAATAAAAATAAAAAGTATATAACAAAGAGTTACAATACTTAAGAAAAATAATAATTCAATTTTTAACATATTTACACTCTGATCTTGAGATAGCAAAATAGAAGAAAGTCCAACACACTCATCAATACCTAAAAAAGTCCAACACACTTATCAATACCTAAAAAATAGAAGAAAGTCCAACACACTCATCAATACCTAAAAAAGTCCAACACACTCATCAATACCTAAAAAAGTCCAACACACTCATCAATACCTAAAAAAGTTTTTATAATTTTCTCCAAAAATTATTTTAAATCATGTTATCAGTGAATTAAAAAAAATAAATTCGTATACTTAAATTATCAGAACCAGCGATAAGATTGGATGCAGTAATTTTAAGATGTAGTGTAAATTTTTCTGATGGACGCAAAGTTAGAGTATCTAAAAAAAGTAAAATAAACTTTTAAACTTTAAAATACAAACTTTCAAAAGCTTTGTATCCAGTCTTTTTAAAACATTTTGTATCCAATCTTTTTTATACATTTTTATGTCCAATCTTTTCAAAACATCTTGTATATTCAATGTTTTTAAAATATTAAAAAAAATCGTTATGTTAAGTTTTGCAGTTTAAATTGTTTATGAACCAAACACTCGACTAAAAAATTCTCATATTATCACTTTAAAAAAATAATATGCAGCCATCCGTGTAATGCACCTCACAATATTTAACATTAAAAAATGCAAACCTTGCGTAGATTGTAATAATCCAGAAAGATGCCACTGAGAACTGCAATGTAGCTTGTTTAATGTAAATTCACTACATCTTAAACTCATGGAACCCTATAAAACATATAAAATAAAGTTTTTTGCATTAAAATAAAAAAATAAAAAACACCATTAAAATACCTGCGAGCGATTTTCCACTGTTAAAGTAACTATCACTTTGTTTTCATGTAATCTAAAAATATGTTTGGCAACTCATTTTTTTATTAAATAACTGTAATATTAGAAAAAAATTACAAGTAAAAGAAGAAAACTACCTTTCCATCTGCCTAGCTGAATTAATATCTTTATTAAATTCTTTATATAGTTGATTATTAACTAGACTTGGTAACCACTGAGCTGATAATGACAAAGTACTTAGAGTTTGTATATGTAAAGTATGCTGAAGAACCCTATATGGCACTAATTTTATGTACTCAAAAGGTTCGTAATAAAATATAAAATCTATTTCATGAACACCAGCTCCTTCAATACCATATAAAGTAATAGGAAAATTGATATGCTCTCCTGGCACTAGTTTATCTACTGGAATTTTAAAAATATTGTTCCTTTTATTACATTGAATGTTTGCATCACAACCCAAAGTAAAGAATGAATTATGACTGCAAGCAATGTATATGTTTTTAGCAGACAACATGCCAATATTTTTTATTAACAATGCTGTTTCATATATCTCACCACACAATAATGTTGTAGGTACATTCAAAAAATTAACCTGTTTAAAAAAAATGTCATTAGCTAAATTAAAAAATAACAGTATAAGATTTAAATTGTGCAACAAGTTAACAAAAAAAAAAAAACAACTCAAAAGTTCAACATTACCTCAATTAATGGTAATGATGATACAACCGTTACATTAAGGCGTTTATCTAGACCATAAACTTTATTGGCTCTTTCCTGTTTTGTAGAGTTTAAACGAGGACCTGCAACCTTTAAAGGCTGCATACCAGCAACTCCACAACTTATCAGAGTTGTGAGATGTTGAGTATTAACCTCAATGTTTCTTGTATCTTCTAGTGAAATTATTACAGCTATGCTACTTAAAATATATTTTATACCAACAACTTCCAGACAACCTGACATTTTAGAAGTCAACCGTAAAGAAACCTAAACAAAACTACTGTTAAAAAGTTTACAAGAAATAATAAAAATATTAAATATTTATGAAAACAAAAACAAAACAAAACAAAAATAAAAACAAAACTAAAATAATATTTAATACAAATATTTTTAAACAATTAGTTAATTTTGATATACCCTCTATAAACAAATACTCTGTATTGTCATCTGTTACAATTTCTATATTAAGCAGGCAATGAGTAACAAATCTTAGTACAAAAGGACAATGAATATTGATAATGATTAATGATACAAGGAATAGATTATTGAACAACTTTATGGACAACATCCTTAGATAAAATTATATTCATTTTGATTCAATTGATTCTGGGCTTCTTATTATTATTTTGATAACATTAATTCAAGTTTAATTATATCAATTTAAATTTGTTTAAACATTTCTAGGCTTCATTTTTTCTTTTTTCTTACAAATCAAAACTCAAAAGAACACCAGATGATACCTAAAAAACACCAGATGATACCTAAAGAACAGAAAAAATCTAGTTTTTTAGATTTTTTCTGTTCTTTAGGTATCATCTGTACACTTAAAAGAAAAAATTTTTTAGATTTGGTCTGGTATAACTGTTTTTATTCTGATAATTTTATTGATAATATTTACACTTTATATTTACAATTTTATTGATAATATTTACACTTTATATTTACAATTTTATTGATAATATTTACACTTTATATTTACAATTTTATTGATAATATTTACAGTATATCGGAAAAATAGTGTAAAAATAAAAAATTACTAAATTAGTTTGAAGTTTTAAAAAACAATTTTCATAATGGCTTGAATATCCAGAAACATTAAAAAATATATTTTCTAATAAAATTAACTTTTTTCCCTCGACTGTACTAACAAAAGTGAATTCAGCTATATGCTTTATTCATTTCCCCCCTCAGCCTTGAATAAATACAGCAAAAAAATTTTTTAATGTATATTTATGTATGTGTATCTGTATGTTTAATAGTGCATATGTCAATCCTCAAAAAATATTTAACAATTAGGTCAGCAATAATTTGCCGACCTCAAACACTTTTAGGTCAGCAGTTTGATCAGCCAACCTAACTGATCTAATTAACTTATTCCAAGAACTGATATGTATATATAATAAACTTAATTAAAGTAATATAATTAACATTATATTACTTTCAAATTTGTATGTTTATTTTTTTAATATTATATCATCAATATAATATAGTATTAAATTATGTTACCACTTTATTTTCTGTCGCCGGAAGATTAATACTTTCTATGACTTCTGCATATATACAGTCAGAATGATCTAAATGCTAAAAAAATCAAGATGATCTTTTAACCTCTATATGTAAGAATAAAAAAATTAAATAACTTTTTATATATCTAATTGTAATATTTTATGTATGACACTGTTATCTTATTGTAATATTTTTTGTATGACACTGTAATCTAATTGCATTATTGAATAATAACAAAAACTGTTAGTTCTTAGACAAGTTGTTAAACTTTATTTTCTTCTATATCTTAATTTCTTACCATTAGCTTTCTAATGTTATGAGTACGCTATTATCAAATTTTTTTCTTAATACCTCAGCATCCATCTTATTTTTTCATTTAACCATGAAAAACAACCTTTTGCACTAAAATCCCTATTTTAAAAAATCTCTGTTTTAAATTACTACATAGCACAACATGTAATACACTTCTATAGTACTACATCAGGCCTCATCGGGAGTAAATAAGCACAAAAGCGGAAGAAAGCTCTCTTAAAACCAACATGGCAAGCCATGTTATCTGCTATTCTAAACTACTTTTTATGAGAGGTTTTTGTTTTTGCACAAGCTATCGTTTATTTAAATAAAAATATACATAATTTAAATTTAAATAAAAAAATACAAAATTTAGTTTTATACTTGTTACTAGCATATTATTGTAACTTTAATGTTACAATAGTATACACATAACAAGCATCATTTATTGCACAGCAAAAAAATTCTTTAGACGTAAAATATTTTTGAGTTTGCAAATACCGTGCCTGCTTATTATCCAATGAATTAAAATTTTTTGACTTTGCATTTTTCATTTTAGTTACAATGATAATTAAACTTTTGAGTGAAAAAAAAAAATACTAAAATTTTCCTCTCTTATCATCTAAATATATGTAGAATCTTGCGGAATACTCTCTGATATGATTGATTTAAACCTTCACTCGAAGGTTTAAATCAATCATATCAGAGAGTATTCATCCTTTTGATGAGAAAGATTTACTACTTTCTCATCAAAAGGATGTATAATTTTTTTTATTTTAAGTAAATAAATATTTAAAAAAAATGTAAAAAAAAAAACCCATAGAGTTTTTAATAGTAAATTTCAAACAAAACCTTGTTAGTTATAACATTATGTTGATCATTATCTGGATGAAACTCCCATAACAACACCAAGTTGATCATTGTTAGTGGAATCTTTAATGGGTTCGAAAAAACAATTTCGTAAGCAAAACATTCTAAAACATTTTTAGTACCAAAATTTAATAATGCAAATAATCATTATGAACATATTCATATTAATATTCATTTATTAATAAAATTATTATATTATAGCAATTTTAATAAAAATAAAATTATAATTATTAAAAATTAAATAAATAAAACAAATTTTTATTATTATAGCAAAATAAACAAACTTTATACCAATTTACCTCCTGCTGCAACGATAGGACTGTATTTGTTATCTGTTATTGCAGAAAGACAAGGAACAAATGGTTTAAAAGGAAATGGAGTTTCTCCAGTAACTTGTGTAACAATAGTTTTTTCAAGACTTGCCCAGCGATTTAAAATTTTGGAATAATTTGTTTGAAATGAATAAGAACCAGCTTTTATATTTCTTACCACACGCACAGATGCTTTAGATGGCACTGATCCACCATCATAAAACATTTGTTCATTTATGAGTAACAAACACCGTATTGAATTTGGATTTGCTCTTGGAAGTGGAAGAATAGGCAAAGTTGTTTTATTGGAATTTGTGAACTCAAAATTTGAAACTTCCAAATTTTTCTAAAAAAGAAATTATGAGCAACATTAAAAGATCTTAACTACCAGATATTAAAATCACCAATTAACAAAATATTTAAAAGACACCAATAACATTAAATGTTTATGAAGGAATTTAGTTTGTAATAAATTTGTTATGGCAACAGTATCTAATAGGATGTGTCAAATAGATTAAAGTGGTTTAGCATGTAGAGGATAAAGATGCAGATGAGAGTTAACAATTTTAGCAATAAAATTTTAGCAGTAGAAAATGATAAGTAATTACTAAACTTTTAAAAAACAAATTACTAAAAATTAAAACCTAACAAAAAGGTGTTAAAAACACTTAAAGAAAAAAGACTCATAAAAAAGGTGTTAAAAATATAATTTTTTTTTATACTTACAGATACATACTTAAAAAATAAAAATTTGAAAAATAGTTTATTTTTAAGTATGTTAATAAAAAATAGAACAAACATACTTTAAACACAATAAGAAATTCTCTTAAATGAGAAGCTTGCTGTGACATCGATTGTTGACTTTCATACATTAACAATGATTTATATGCTTCCTGTGCATCTGATAAACAATTCATATTAAATGATTGTCGTCCAATAATAAAATTAATATGATCCTAAACAAATATATAAAATTTATGAAAATCAATTTGATGATCTGATTAAAGTAAATTTGAACATATTTTAAAAAATTTCAAATTTTTGAAGGAAAAAAAATTATAATAATCTAGGAAAAAAAAACTTTAAAGCAACCAACAAAAACAGTTATTATAGAATTGATAACCGAGTAACTTAATATGGCTCTTGTTAGTTAAAAACTATCAGGAGCTAAATTAGTAATAGTTTTACGAAACAAGTTTATACCCTCCATTAATAATTATGGATTACCAGTTCATTTTTTTCAAGACCATGTTAATTAATCTCTCCAAGGTCGTGAAAGCCACTATAGACGAGGAGGCTATTCAGTGTAGTTAAGGAGAGATCCAAAGAAAAATATAGCACTTAGACTCTTTCGCTTTCAAAAAATGTTGTTTTATTTTATGCGCGTTTTGATTGGTTTATTTTTTTAAAGAAATTACGAAGCTCGTTGTTTCATTTTGTTTTCAAATATTCGGTTATTTAAATTCTACGAGTTTAACATTTTAACTAATTACTTTGGGGCAGCAGTTATATAAAAGTTGAAACCTTTTTTTTTGGTTATTTATTCAAACAACTATATAGAGATTATGAAAGTAAATTGCTATGAGAGAAAACTAATGTGAAAACTTTGATTTTAACGTTTTTCATGTTTACGGGAAGATAAAATATGAGGTTATTAGCCATTTATTGAATATTTTGATGCTGTAAACATGGTAGTTTTTTACTTTCTAAAAATAGAGATATTTTTGGAATGTAAACACTTTAGACATATGTTTCACCTGTTTTCATGACGCTGCCCTGTCGCGTTATATGTATTTTAGTGGTAGTTTTATTTTGTTTTATACTTTAATTGAAAAAAGATTTATGAAAAAATAAAAAATAATGTAAAAAAAGATTAAATTCTACTTTTTGAAAATATATAATAGTAATAGTTGAAAATAAGCGAAACATACAAAAAGTTAAAGTTTCAAAACACAAATTTTAGTTTTTTAAAAAATGCAAACTTTTTGGATCTCTCCTTAACTGTGCTGAGTACTCAATTGTGGTTACAACCCTCTCTCAACTCTATAACTCCAAAATACGAACCTTGACGAACAAGGCCCATGCGCAGAAAAACAAACTGAGTGCGGCACTACTAGGGGTGTGGTGGGAATCAAACTGGGAACCTCTCGTTTATGAAGCAAGGGGTCTATACCACATCTGCATGTTTACTGAAAATACAACAATTTGCCTAAACTATTGAAAAGCATAAATTAAAGAAATAGAAAGTTGTTGGACTAGTTATAACATGGATTATAACATGTTTAAAAGTTATCATATTATTTATTAACAAACTGTTGATACTGTGTTTATCTCTAGATAAACACAGTATCAACAAAAACACTTTTTTTTAATTTTAAATGCAGCATAGAATAATATTGCTACATAATAATCCCTGTGTAAATATATATGGAGAGTTTATTTTCAAAACATGGTGTGTTATTTTTGATAAAAAGAAATTGTGATTTATTCTTAGTATATAACAAACTATTGGATATTGTATCCAATAGTTTATTTGCTAATAGCAAATAAACTTTTTAGTAGTTTATTTGCTAAGCAAAGTATAACTCTTTTTTGAAAACTAACTAATTAGTATATAACAAACTATAGTTTGTTATATACTAAGAATAAATCACAATTTTTTTTTAATCAAAAATAACACACTATGCTTTGAAAATAAACTCTCAATATATATTTACGCAGCGATTATTATGTAGCAATACAAAAAAAAAAAAGGTTTAAATTTGTTTTTTTAAGTGCAGTATTTATTGTGACAGTTTGTGGCAAATGTTCTGCACAAGTGCAAATGTTGTTGAGTAAAGTTGTGAAGTACAAAAGTTTTTACTTGTTCAGTTTTAAAAGATTGTTGTTTAGATTAACCCTTTATTCTGTTGAAACTCTGTAATTAATAAATGTAGTGTAACACAAGTAACAGAAGCAGCCGTATTAGAGACCTGAGACAAGAGATGAAAGAATTAGAGCTCAACACAGTTGATACCTGTGTTTAAAAAAAATGTATTTAGTTTTATTTGTCATTAGACTCTCATTATATGTTATAGTAGTAGTGTTATCAAAACGTTCAGATTAAGGAATAAAAAACTTGTTTTGTTTAGGTATATTAAATAATTAAACTTTTAATTATATTAAGGGATAAAATGTTTTTTCAGTAAAACAAGGTCATTGACACTACTTCTATTTTAAAACTTCAAAACTTATAAAACTATCCACATAATTGAATTATATGAAAATTTTCTTGATTTTATACAATAAATTTGAACTGTATTAATTTTTTTATACTAAAAAAAAAATGCTCTTGTTTGTCAAATCTAAAAATGTTACTCTAAAATTGCTTAAAACTTTTAATATACTTTTTTAGAAACAAAAACATTTAAAATATAATAAACAAAAACTAGAATCCAAATTAAAAAAAAAGATACAAAAAGTAGTAAAAGATGTAAACCAAAATTAAAGATATGCAAAAAAGAACTGCAGGGTCTGGCTGCAAGAATAAATTGTTTAAATTGTATTAAATAAATGTTGTCACAAAAACAATGCAGAAAATGATATACACTTTATAATGATGAATTTTTTTTTTTTTTTTTTTTTTTTTTAACATCTTCACTTCCAACAAGGCTGCAAGCAACCACTATAAGAGTTGGAAGTTACTGGAAGAGAAAAGACTAAATCTGTAGAGCAAGATAACGATTGACTGATGACTTAAAAGATTGCAAATTATATGAATCAGGAAAGCAAGATGAAGGAAGCGAATTCCAAAGAACTGATGTTCGAGGAAAAAAACTAGAAGAATAAGAGTTTTTGAAGCACTTAGGAACAGTCACAGAAAAAGGATGAGACTTAATTGAATGGCGAGTAACACGAGAATGAATTTTAGTAGATGGCACAAGAGACGCTAGCTCTTTAGAGCAGTGCCCATTATAGTATTTGTAGAAAAGAGAAAGAGAAGCAACATTACGACGATGTGACAAAGGTTGGAGATTGGCTGCCAGAGCAGGTCCAACTATGTTTACAATTCGTTTTTGCACCTTGTCTAAAAGAGAAAGAGCATCATTAGAAGATCCGCCCCAGATGTGGCAACAGTATTCCATACAGGGACGGATTTGAGATTTATAGAGATAGAGAATAGAATCTGGAGTAAGAAAGTGTCGAGCTCGATAAAGAGATGCAACCTTAGCAGATGCTAATTTTGCAATGGATTTGATATACGGTTTAAAAGAAAGATCAGAAGTAAGAGTTAATCCTAGAAGATGAATGGTAGATGACTCATCTAGTACATTACCATTCATAAATATAGGAAGATCTAAATTATTACGATAACGATTGGCCGAATAAAATTGAGTTTTATCTGAATTAAAGTTCACCAGACACTGTGAGCCCCATGCTGTAGCAGAAGTGAGATCCTTTTCAAGCTCAGATACCCCCTCCAAGCAATCAGAGAGTGTAGGCTTCTTATCATGACAAGAGTAAATGGTAGTGTCGTCAGCGAATAATGCCACCTTAGATGTGAGAATATCTGGAAGATCGTTAATGTAAATTAAAAAGAGTATAGGGCCAAGGATTGAACCTTGAGGAACCCCTGAAGTAACAGGATGTGAAGAAGAGTGTTGTCCATCGAGGACAACTTTTATACTACGATTGGAAAGAAAGGACTCAATAATCTTAAAGACGTTACCAGCTACACCATAAGAAGAAAGCTTATGGAGAAGACCAGCATGCCAAACTTTATCAAAAGCTTTAGAAATGTCAAGTGCGATAGCCTTAACCTCTCCACCTCTATCTAATGCACGGTAAAACCTATCGGTTATTACTGTTAGCACATCAGCTGTAGAACGAGAAGACCGAAATCCATATTGATGATCAGAAAGTAAGTTATTTGATTCAAGATGAGAGATTAAGTGTTTGTTGATTAAAGATTCAAAAACCTTGCTTATGACAGGAAGAAGACTAATGGGACGGTAGTTAGATGAATCAGATCGCTCCCCGGAATTTTTGAAAATAGGGATAACAGATGCTGCTTTCCAGCATGATGGAAAACAAGACTCTGATAAGCACTTGTTAAATAGTTTAGAAAGTATGGATGAAAGCTCCGGAGAACACCTCTGCAAGACTACAACAGGAATGTTGTCAGGACCACAAGCTGTTGAAGAGTCTAAGCAGGAAATTACTTTAGATACAGAAGCTGAAGTGATGCGAATGTCAAGCAAGGGATCAACCTGTTTGACGGTTATGTCAGGTAAAACGCAACTAGTGGAATCAAGAGATGATATTGATGAAAAGTTCTTAGCAAACAATTCAGCTTTGTCTTTAGGTGAGGTGACAAAGTCTGAACCATACAAGAGAGAAGGAATAACAGATTTGCCCTTATTATTGATACTGTTAAAGATTCTCCAGAAGTCTCGAGAGCCTAATTTTTGTGATGAGATACAAGATTTAATGACCTGGGAATAGCGAGCTTTGGCGTCAGACAAAACCTTTTTACAATGGTTTCTGGCGATAGTGAACAGATGTCTGTTTTCTGGAGAATTGTTTTGCTGATAGATATGGAAGTAACGGTTTTGATTAGAAATTGCTACTGCGCAATGTGAGGAAAACCAAGGAGAAGAGTGAGGCTTGACCTGGAATCGTCGAGAGGGAATAAAAGATTCCATGCCAGCCTGAATCCACGAAGTTATGTAAGAAGCACATTTGTCAGCAGGAAGACGAAAGATTTCTACCCAAGGGCCATCACGAAGAAAATCACAGAAAGAGTCCCAGTCAGCTTTAAGGTAGTTGTATGTGGTACGATGATAGGGGGATTCTGATGAAGTAGAAGAATTTGATAATAGTTTTAGAGAGATCAAACCGTGATCAGAAGTACCTAAGGGTGAATGTGGAGAAATTGAGCACTGACTAGGATCCAAAACAAGACATAAGTCGAGTA